TGTTATCTCTTTGCTGTGCTATTGTTCTCTGTATATTTATATATATATTGGCTACATCATTTTCTGTAAATATTGTTATTGCACCCTTTTGACCTTTTAGTAATAAATCTTACTTTCTGAAAGTGTTGAACTGTTTCTAAAGGTTTTTTAATGCAAATTGTGAGTTCCTGCCGCTGAAGAGTGCTACTGTGTGTGTTTAACCCTCTGTATAACCTGCCTGCGGTGACAGTGGTATACAGACGATTATTTCAACCATCATAGTGTTATTGCTGATATTGCCGAGTTTCCTCTTTTTCTGTATAAAAAGGAGGTGGTGGCAGTGTGAAGGGTTAATTACGTAATTAACCTGACCCAGTAACAATCGCTCCCAGGCTGCCGGTACATCGATTGTGGTCCAGTGAGCTGGAAAATCTTTGTGCAGGGTGCAGCTGGGCGTGGCATTGTTACGCACGTGACATCAATTTTAGATTGGCTAGTCCTTCGGTCACGAGTTTGGTGAGAAGGGCTGGGGTCTGACGCCGCGATCGTCACAAGCAACACTTCATTAGATCGAATCCTGGACAAATCTAACACCCTCAAAACTATTTAAAGCATTCCCCAAACAGAGCAATAAGCTAGAACGTCTACTGCATACACATGACCTTATTGATATCGGGAGAGATAATCATCCCACGATGAGAGATTATACATAGTACTCACATGTGCACAAAACATACATACTCGCGCATTGACCACCTTTTTATTCTATCCCCATTACTCCCTTTTGTCACCTTGGCTAAAATACAGATGGCATCATGGTCAGATCACTCCTTGGTCCAGATGACAATAGCGGATCTCTGGAAGAAGGCTCGTCCAATAGCGTGGCGACTCAACGCCTCTTTACTTAACAATCCCTCAGTGTACACGGAAGTGGAAACTACCAGAAGTCAGTATTTTGCCGAGAATACCCCAGAGGACACATCTCCCACCATGACATGGGCGGCACATAAGGCGACGATTTGCGGTAAACGTATTCAAATAGCATCTAGGGCTAAATGGGACCGGGAACTGCTTATACACCAACAGGAAGAGAAGCTCAAGGAGCTACTCAGAGAACAGAAAATAAATCCTCAAGTGGACATCAGGCATAAAATAGATGCGGCGAGAACTACCCTTACTCTTAGCCTAACTACGAAAGCGGAAAAATATATCCATTGGTCGAAACATCGCTTTTATACATTTGGAGATAAGCCCCATACGTTGCTTGCGCAGAAGCTTACGCCACGTGTTTATTCTCCGGCTTTACCAAACTGCGAGTAACGGACGTAGATCTCAGAATCCCCAGTCGGTGGTGCATGAATTTTTTAAATTTCTATCTTAAACTCTATTCTCAACAGGAACCAATTCAGGCATCTTGGATTGATACTTTTTTCCAAAATCTCCCCCTACTGCGTATCATTCCAGCTCATATGGAGCTCATGGAACAGGAATCCCCAGTCACCATCATACCTAACCTGTACAGTGACCTATCATATTTTACAGCAATCTCTAGTCTTAAGGTCAACCATAATAAATCCCTTGCCCCCAACTTAACCTTGGATGACTCTACAGTACATTCCTTACAACAAAGCTTCTCTTTTAAATGGCAAGGAGACACGCTTCCTTACTTAGGAATAAATTAAACTCCTTCCGTGGACACCCTTTATCAACAAAATTATCCTCCCATATATATAAAACAGCAGGAAGATCGTTTCAAATGGGACCTCCATCCCCCTTCATGGTTCGGTAGGTTGTACTCAGTAAAAATGAACACTGCCTAAAATTTTGTACTTGTTTCATACATTGCCAATAATGCTAAACATATCTGACTTACGTATTTTCCAACAAAAGATAATAAAATTCATATAGGGAAACAAGAGACCCAGGGTAAATAGACATACACTTTTTGCTTCAAGACTGATGGGAGGACTGGGGGCCCCAGACTTATCTAAATATTTCTATGCTGCCCAATTGGTCCCATTGATACACTATCATTCTAAATAAGTCTGTCCCCTGTGGATGCATTTGGAATCATCCCATGTCCCTAATATTCTGATCAGCCACATGATGTGGCTGAAAGCCAGGGACAGACCAGCAATTTTGTCTCCCACGTTATCATTTTCCCTTTCCTTATGGGATAGATTGGCGAGTAAGCATGGTTTAAATCCCCCCACACTCCCCTAGGCCCTTTATCGGGCAACCCAGCATTTCCCCCGGGCCTCAGCCCCTCTGCTTTTGAATGGTGGACAAATAAAGGTTTCTTTCGTTGGCAGATTTTTGTGACCATAGACTCCCAATACCTAAGATAGTGTTTCAGGAGAAACATCACCTCCCAACTAAGGTACTATATCGCCTCTCACAAATAACCCACTTTCTCCATACCCTCACAAGTGACCTGTCTTCATTGACTCCAATGGAACATTTCTGTAGAATTCTGGATAGGGACACTGGTCATATATCCAAGATATACACTATCTTACAAGAGGACCCCACCAAATTACCCAACATGAAACGATGAGAAGAAGACCTGGGGTAAGTATTGGAGGTGGCAGAGTGGAATAAACTGGCACAGCTCAATTCCAAAAATTATATCAATACTTCATTGATTGAAGCTTAATATAAGGTTTTCTTGCGGTGGTATTTGGTACCCTCCTGCTTGGAGTCTTTTGTTCAGGAGGTCTCTTCCGGTTGTTTCTGTGGCTGGGGGCAGGAGGGCACATTTCTCCATATGTGGTGGACCTGCAGCAAAGTAAAGTGATACTGAATTCAAACCTATAACTTTATTTATTCATTTACCCAGGTTAATCTTATCAAATCCCCACATCAGGCCCTCCTGGGAAAGCTGGTGGAGGGCATACGCAGATACCTGAGACGCCTGATTGCATTTATATTTAGTGCGGCCAGAATATCCATTGCATGCTCCTGGAGGTCCCCCACAGTCTCCCTTGACCTCCTGAAGGCCAAGCTGACCTGGATTATGGTCAATGAACATCTGACCGCTATTCTTCATGATGGGATGGCCTACTTTGAAATAGCTTGGGATCCTTGGATGAAATATCACTCAGCACCGTCCTAATCTATAAGAGTACACATCGTACCCTTTCACCTGGCAGCCAGCTCGTTCCTCCTCCCTGCGTCCTTTCCCTCTCCCTCTTTGTCCTTTTTCTGACTCTCTTTCCACTCTTTTCTTCTTCCCCATCTTCTTCATTCCATTCTCTTTATGTTTCTTTCCCCATTATCGGATAGCGTTAGCTCAAAGCCATGGGGGGTGCTCCCCCTTATTGCGTGAAGAAACTTGGAGGGAGGTCAGCCCTCCACACAGGTCATGGTAGTCTCTGACACCAGGCCTGACAAAAAGTTTTACTTTAGTTTTCGTTTTCTTTCCTTCTTTATTGTTATTGACCTGGCATTTACAAGTCCCAATGGGACCCTTTGGCTATCAATGACTGATAATTGTCATAGGTTGTTGTATATTGTGCGTTGTTTGTACCAGCCCAGACAGGTTGCAGTTTGTAGAGAAATGGATGTATAATTCTCTGAACTGGCTTGTAACCCCTTCTTTGCTAAGACAAAATAAATAAACACCATTGAAAAGAAAGAAGATATTGCCAATGAGGAACTTTTTATAATAACTGAGTATGTCATCTTAAGGTTTTTTGTAACAGATCAAGCTTCTTTCTCATTTTCTTTTGCATCTTCAGTAGGTGCGTAACCTTGTACAACTGTCATGTTAGCATGTCTAGACTGGAACCGCAGAGTGATGGTGTGATCATTCACAGACTTTTGTCCCATCAGAGGACAGGATGCCTCCTTATTCAGTATCAGGATAACACTGTGCAGATGACATTCTGGCCCTGATTTACTAATGTGCATAGACAAATTTCCGTGGGCTAAAGTCTAATTTTCATTGAAATCCATCTACTTTTAGATGGCGAAGACATTTACTAAAGAGAGTCTAACAAGTAGATTCAAAAGCGAATTTACTAACTAGGCACAATACAGGAATCAGTCTAAAAAAACAGACGTCCTAGAAACATGTCTAACAAAATGAAAAATCACTGCAGAAACATGTTCACATTGAAATTTGCTTTCCCAAATATCTGGACTTAACTTTTAACAATATATTACATTTCAAAATTTGGTTTCAATGGGTAAAAAATAGTTTTTTAAGGGAATTCATGACAGTCAAGAACTAGATGCTTTTCCAACGTCTATGCAGGGATTGAAATGAGCATGTGCAGGACACAATTTAGCCGTCTACCATGGGCACTTTCTTTTTAGACGCTGTCTAATAGTAAATCTGTGTGGAGTCCTCTGACTGATGGCACTCGATCGCGTCTACTGAGTTTGACAAACATCACTATTTGTAGCTTGGCATATCTTTATGTATTCTAATTTGATGTCCTTAGTTCTAGTGATTCTATTTTTGTTTTTTATCCTTTCTAATGATTTCTGTAATGGTTTTACATATTTCGAAGATCTAGATATATTTTGACAGCTGAATCTAAAAATAATGATCGTCAATTAACAAAAAAAAAAAAAAAAGGCATGGGGTCCCCTCCTCCCATCCATACCAAGCACGCAGGTCTGGTATGGATTTAGAGGGGAAGTCCCATTGCAAAATAAAAAAAAAAACGGTGTGGGGTCCCCCCCAAATCCATACTAGACCCTGAGTGTGCGGCCCAGCAGCGCCCCCCCCCCTCCTGAACCATACGAGGCCACATGCTCTAAACATTGGGGGGTGCTTTGGGGCAGGGGGGCTCCCCCCCAAAGCACCTTGTCCTCATGTTGATGGGGACAAGGGCCTCTTCCCCACAACCCTGGTCGGTGGTTGTGGGGGTCTGTGGGCAGGGGGCTTATCGGAATCTGGAAGCCCCCTTTAACTGCCGCCCGCCATATAAGGTAATGTCAGTTCCACTAGCAGTGTCACCTGTCAGTGCCCATCAATGCCAGCTGTCAGTGCTCATCAATGCCACCCGCCAGTGCCCATCACTGCCTCATCAATGCCACATATCAGTGCCTACCACATATCAGTGCCTACCAGTGCACATCAATGCCACATATCAGTGCAAATATGAGCTCCCTTTCAGTGTCACCTTTCAGTGCCAGCCAGTGCCACCTATCAATACCAGTCAGTGCCACCTATCAGTGCTGCCAGTCAGTGTCGCCTATCAGTGCCAGTCAGTGCCGCCAATCAGTGCGTATCAGTTGCGCCTATCAGTGCGTATCATTGCCACCTATCAATGCCCCTCAGTGCTGCCTATCAGTGCCAGTCAGTGCCACCTATCAGTGCCTGTCAGCACCACCTATCAGTGCCAGTAAGTGCCGCCTATCAGTGCCACCTATCAGTGCCATATATGAGTGCTGCCTTTCACTGCCCATCAGTGATGCCTGTCAATGCCCATCAGTGCCACCTACTAGTGCCTCCTCATCAGTGCCACCTATCAGTTCCCATCAGTGCAGCTTATCAATGCCCATCACTGCAGCCTCATTAGCGCACATCAGTGAAGGAGAAAAATCACTTGTTTACAAAATTATATAACAAAATCTAAGAAAAAAAATTTTTTTTTCAAAAATTTCAGGTGTTTTTGGTTTGTTTAGCAAAAAATAAAAAACCCAGAGGTGATTAAATACCACAAAAAGAAAGCTCTATCTGTCTCAAAAAAATTATAAAAATTTCATATGGGTACAGTGCTGCATGACCACGCAATTATCATTCAAAGTGCGACAGCACTGAAAGCTGAAAATTGGCCTGGGCAGGAAGGTGGTATAAGTTCCCTGTAGGCATGTGGGGGTTAGCCCCCCCCATGTGAATGAGTATGGGGTACTCATTCACAAAAAACAAAAAATGTAGTATTAAAAAAGATAGGACACAGTCTTTGACAAGTCCTTTATTAAAAGAAAAATCTAAAAGAATGTCCCCCGCAGTAAATCCAACATCAATAACGATCTACGCCGCCGCTGACCCGAAAAAGAAAAAAAAAAAAGGTTCTGTTCTCGACAATGACTGCCGTTTGACAGCTCCGGTGGTTTGACAGTTCTTAAATATGTAAGGGGAGGGGCCACCTGGGGACATCAAAATAAAAAAAAAAATGGTGTGGGGTCCACCCCCAAATCCATACAAGACCCTTATCCGAGCATGCAGCCCGGCAGGTCAGGAAAGGGGGGGATGAGCGAGCACCCCCCCTTCTGAACCATACCAGGCCCCCCCTATGTGAATGAGTATGGGTACATGGTACCACTACACAAAAAATACAAAAAGTGTAGTGTGAAAAAAACAGGACACGGTCTTTGCAAATCGCATGCCAAATTGCACCTGATGTGACCGGGGGCTAACACCACAGTCACATCTAATCCGATTTGGAAATTGGGCAACTTACGCACAATTTCAACATTGGATTGGATGTGAAGAGAGCCTATAGCAGACAATAGCATGCGACTTGGCCTACGATTTTCAAGTCACCTGGCATGCAAACCGCATTCCAAATTGCACCTCATGTGACTGGGGGACACTCCAGTCGCATCAAAGCGCATTTTGAAGTGGTGCGACTTACAGTGAAGTCACATGATTTCAACGTTAGATTTGATGTGAACAGAGCCTATAGCGGACAATAGGTTGTGACTTGGCCTATTATTTACAAGTCGCCTGGCATGCAAATTGCATGCTAAATCACACCAGATTTGACTGGGGGCCACCCCGGTCACATTAAAGCAGATTTTGAAATCGTGCGACTTACACCATGGTCACATCAAGCCCAGCTTTTAAAGCATGTGACTTACAGTGAAGTCGCATGATTTCAAAGTCGGGGGACATGCTGATTTCAAGTGTGATTTGCAAGACATCCGACACAGATCTCTCTGCAAACAGCATGAAAAGTAGTGTATTCACTACTTTATAAATCGTTGCGGCTCTGACCAAGTTTGAACTACACTGATATGACCGCTCTAATAGTGGTCACATAGAGTGCGACTTGGCATGCAATTTGCATGACATGTGACTTGCAAATCGTATGCCAAGTCACACCCTATTGTCCGCTTTTAGAGCAGTCACATGGGTGCGTTTCCGACACTGATTTCTAAAGTAGTACATGTACTACTGTTGCGGCGATTTGCATAGACATCTGTTTCAGATGTCTTGCAAATCACAAGGAAATTGGCAAACTTCACTGTCACACGATTTCTAAATCGGCTTTGATGTGACCGGTAAGGTCTTTTTATGTATGATTTCCTGAGTGTTTTTCTGATTTATGGGAAATCCCGCATACTAGCAAAAGTGAAATGACATTTTCAGTATCGCATGCGAGATGTGGTCATGGGACTGCCTTAACTCATGCGATAATCTTGAGTGAATTGTGCCCATAGTGCGAATAAATGTTGCCATGGGGTTCCCATTCACATCCCTGTTCAGTGTTATGTTGTATGCTGCACAGGTACACTTCACTGTTGCTTTCTTTCTGACTCTGATTTGTGGGGCCTGTATACCAAGGGTTAACACAGGTGGGAAGAGGATTGGTGCCCGCTAATTAGGTGCAATCACTTTCTCTGACCAAATGAATGACAGTTGTGGCCTTCATTGGGGGTGAGGCCTTGTTTGGCGTGCTCCAAATCCAACCTATGTTATATAAAGGCCTGCAGTAGTGGGTGGCTTGTACTTGTAATAGGCCAGGTTATTTTCAGCAAGTCCTTGCCTGTGGTGGTTTTGGGGGAGAGATATATTGTGCTGAATTGCCCCAGACCCCACTCAGGCTGTGTTTTGATGTGGGCTGTAAATGTTTTGCATTTTTTTCCTTCTAAAGTGTGTTTGTGTATTATTGTACAATGTTTGTGTGTTTATTATCTTTGCATTGTAATCCTAACACATGTCAATTGCTCTGCTCTTCCAAATCTGCACTTGGCTATAGTTTGCTTGCTTATTTATACTGAAATGCAGTTTTAGGACAAACACAATAGAGCTGAAAACATATATTCACCAATGCCAAATATACAATAGAGATGCAAACATATATTCGCGAATGTCACATACACAATGAAGCCACATGGAAAATTGCTATGGCGCACAAATAAACGCCAAAACGGCTGTTGGAGAGAGAGGCGCTAGAGCAGCTGTCATACCAGAAATACGTCATCATGTTTGCGGTAGGACGTTCGCATGCACCAGGAAGTGGTAGTGGGGTGTGTTAATGGATGGGAGTGTAGTTAGGAGAGTTTAGTGGTAATTTGCAAATCTATTTTTTGGCTTTGCAAATTGTTCTTTTGTGGAATTCCAGACCACATCTGGACATGTAGAGATCGCTGTTCTCGACCGAGGAGCTGATCCTCATTTATAGGAGAAACATTACTAATAATTGTTGTATTTTCAGTTGAAAACATGTCCAATACCTAGATCCATTGAGGTACATAGCAGAGGTTTAAGGTATTCCATAGAAGAAGTTATTGTTCTTCCTAACTATACAGTTGGCACAGACACAACATACACCCAGGGCCACTGTTAGATATCACTGGGCCCTGTACAGCCTACCTGACAGCCCCCCACCACCAGAGAAAATATCCAAATTATATTTATGGTAAAAATACACTAAAAACATTATTATCGGACACAATCCCAACCAAATTCCTGTTAAAGGTAAATGAGTTAATAAATAAAGCTGTGTTTGTAATTGAGGTCTTGGGGCTCATTCACATGGGTGCTGTGGCCTGTAGAGTGGGAATCAGTGGTTTGTTTTTGTGGCTATCGCCGTTTGCAGGCAACCTATGTTACACTATGGAAATGCTGCAGGTCCTAATTTGACAAGCATATGGTTGCAGGTGTACAGCCCTGAACACAGACAGTGAGCATTCAGGGCCGCTTCCCCACGCCTGCACACCTGTCAGATTAAAACCTGTGTTCATACAGCTGCTGTGTCCCGATAGTGTAACAGGTGGCTCCAGTCACATGAACAACCCCCTCATTCATGCTGTACAGGCCAGAGGACCTGTGTGAATGTAGCATTTTTTACTTTTTTTTCCTCAGCCCATTAATTTCAATGGGCTGCCTAACATGTGCAAACATGCAAAAATACTGCAGGCATATTATTTTAAATTGTGTTGCACCTAACCGCACAGTAGTGTGGTGCCATGCATTTTGGTGGCTGTGAATGCATCTGTGTTTAAAAGACGTGTGGAGGTGCAATTACGTTTTCATCATTGTATCTGCGCACATATGCAATGTGCATTGTATTTCTTTGCTGTGCTGGACAATGCATGCTCTTCCATGTGTTTCTGCACGACAAATAGTGTGAACAAGTCCTAAGGGCCAGTTCACACTATAGAAACACAGTCTAGATGTGTTCCAGATGCGTTTTTGCATGCACTTTTTTGATGCATGTTTAGCATGTTCCAGTGGATTTTGGATGCGTTTTTGATGTGTTCCAGTGCATTTTTTTATGCATTCTAGTTAATTTTATCCCCTCTCTTTTTCTTCAATTTAATTAGGGACATGTGCGTTTTAGTGTGTTCCAGAGCATTATACCGCGTTCCAGTACAGTTCTGTGCATAAACAATGCAGCCTGTTCGACTTTTTTTGCAGCACCTGCAATGCACTGGAAATGCAAGCGCTGATGTGAACTATGACATTGACAACCATATAACCTTCTTTCTGTGCATTTTATATGCAAAAAAAAGCAACTGAAACACATGTAGCATGAACTGGCCCTAAAGGTTATTATATGTAAGGGAACGGGACTGACCAGGAATTGTGAATTCAATCAGACTAGTGGTGAGATACAATTAGGAATCTTATAATAATGCGAGATCTGAGCTGTAGGGGATAGGAAATGATACACACTAACTTGATCAGTAAATAAATAATTAAATAAAAAGAGTGGGGTGGTGATACATAGATTTGTAGATGGAACAGGTGATGACAGGGGGGAGGGGGTCAAGTTGTATAAGGAGAGAGGTTTAAGAGAAGAGAAAAAGTTGTAATGAAATATAAACAGAAGGAAAATTGAATGTTTCAAACTTGTCAGAAGAACAGAACACAGGTAAGATTCACTCCCTTTCCAGTCAGTAGCCAAAGTCTTAACTGATCAATATTCTTGGCACTGACAGAACCCCTGCAAATTGATCTCCATATTTTGTGCATTCACAAATGTCAAGGAGCTTAAAATCAAAGGCTAGAAACTCAGACATATACTAGGCCCAATTAACCTAACAGCATGTCTCTGGAATGTTGGCAGAAACACACCCGTGCAGAGAAAGCATGCAAACACCAGACAGGTGCAGCCATGACTGGGATTAGAACCCATGACCTAAGTGCTGCAAGACCTGAGTGTTAACCACTAAGCCACTGTAACAG